ATTTGTCCTGCATGCAGTTTTTTTTCTTCCGACAAGCGCTTGCAGGATTTTTTTTTTCAAAATCACCCACCCCCCCTTTCCCCCTCAAGAGTTAAATGGTCGGCCCCTTAGCCCCAACAAGAAAACTAATCATCCAACGACAACTGAGTTTGTGCTCGTTTAGTTCGGCTATTGAATTTATGGTAAAACTTGAATTTTTCGGTGAGTTCGACAGCACAGTAGTTCGAGTAATAAGGCTGTCGACGCTATAAATTCGTTTCTGTTTGGTAGTAAAACACATATGCATTATTAGCCATTCGTGAGGTCAAGCTTAGGATGGCTGGATATTGGTGAAGTTCATTTCTGCGTCTTAATTAATCGAATTGGTAGTGTATGCTTCCATTGCTGAATTTGCTCGTACGTAGTTACTGCTGGTACTGAATAGAACGTGTCTGGTGAGGATAGAGTATACCTAAATCTTTTCCCAAAAATTAATTAGCGAAACCAACAAGAAACCTTTCTAGAAGTGCACTTAATTTATTATTTACAGCTGTTTGTATGGGTACCTGCGAACGTCGCTTTCGAAAGTTTATGCAATCTATTCAATCTTTACGGATACGTCAGCTTAAATGCTCACTGTACTCTGCCTGTTTGGCCGATGTTGGCGGCTCAGTTTAAGGAAAAATCGTTACTTTTGTGGGCTGTTTAATTAACCATTATATGTTATCAGTATGATACGCTTCAATGGTTACGAAGTGAAACATGAACTTTTATTTTGTCTTCCTTTTATTTTAGAAATAAAGAAAAGAAAAAGAAAACAAGAAAGAAAACAGTAAAAACAAACACCTGCCCAAACTGGTTAATTTGGGCTCAGTAAACAAGGAACTGTTGAGAAAGAAGACTTTTCTATATCGAACGTATTTCGCGGATCTTATTTTTAGCCTGTCAAGAATACTCGAAAGAAGAGCGCCCAAAGTGTTTGGAGAAAAGAGCGTACGTGAGGTAGGACGAGATGCCGCGGTGCGGTATTAAAACGACGTTTATTTTTCAGTTTTTCTCAACTTCAAGGTTCCGAGAAGGGACGAGGCGCCCACGCTTTAGTACTACATGGAAACACTTACCAGTATAAACAGAGTTAAACGTCACCGTTAATAAAACTTGTCAAACTAACGGGCACCCAACGACCGAATGTTTCCAAATATGCCATAGGTTTCTAAGATTGTTTCGTCGATCGATCCTTTAGAAGCCTGTTTGATTGATTTAGAGCTGCCCTAAAAACTATTTATCTGTTCGGATGTCTCAGGGGAACTTTGGTCGTATCGAAAACTTTTAGATGTTTTTTTTCTCGTCTCACCCGAAACTGTTAGCTACCCTTATGGGTCCAGTCGAAAGTTCAAGGACATGAATTGTAGCGGTACTTTCGTTAGAAGATTGAACAGGACGCTTTGTCTTTATATCAAAATTTCCAAGAGACCAAAATTGTGAAATACTGCATTCTGTCCGAGGTCTTTCTATAAAAACAGTGCCTCATAGTGCTGTTTCACCTCAGATGTGATGTATAAAAAGTTTAAAAGGTTGGTTTACACGCTCCCACAGTATTTTCACAAAGGGTTGTCATGTGAAAAAGTCAATCTCTGTAAACCGTAGGTAAGTGACCAGAAAAACTCCGAATATCTTAGACGAATGGAACGGTCATCCATAATTTTTAGCCGTTTCTCGAACTTTAGAAATTTCTGGACAATATTTGCTCTTTTGAACAGCTATCAGTTTTACATTGCCCCTGAACTAGCTGCAACATTTGCATGCTTTATATATTTCCAAGAAAAATTTCGCCTTTAATTAACTTCCGGAGAGAAATATCATACTGAATAAAAAAAAAAACGCCTTTGAAAATGCGAAATCCCCTCGCAATTTGTAATGAGAAAGTTAGTTTCTGTATCTAAAGAGTAGATTTTTGAGGGGTCATATACCTGCAAAATTTTTAGTAATTAAATTGCGTTATGGAATAGCCTACCTCTTGATCGGCTTGCTCCATCCTTGAACAACACAAGCCTATTTGTCTGGCCACAGTTTAAATTAAATGCTACCAGCATGATTCCTTATTTGTATATTAACCGAGGAACTTCCCTTCCAATCATATTCAAGGAGCGTAATCCTATCAGGAGCCAGCCTGCAGCAAATTCTGAGAATCTGACAAAGAAGAGAGACTGCCGGTGCCTAATTGTATTTCAAACTCAAATAAGTCGGTGCTGCAGGTTTTATCAATTTTTAGCGCCCAAAACGCGGCGCTTATTCTAGGGCCGCATTTGTTTTAAAATTGGAAGCGACAAAAATTTTTTTTCTTTTAATTCAACAATAACAGGTGTCGCTATTTTTTTGTAGTGTTCTTACTTTTTTGTAGTGAAATTTTATTAATTGTAAAGAGCGGTACTTTGTAGTTATTAATCGTAAAGGACGTCATTTACGATTAATAATTATTTCTAACATAGTTAATAGCTGCGTTTGACAGGCTTTGTAGTTAATAATGGTGAAATTTACGACTATTAACTATGTTTGGCAGGCATTGCAGTTATTAATCGTAAGGTTGTCAATTTCTTCAGAAAAGTTAAGGTCTCGGTAAATGAAAATTTTAGTACATTGCTCGATTTTGTTTTTTTTGGATTTTTGGCATGAGTGGGTCCTAAATTTTATTTTGGCAGAAAAAGAAAATCAGAAAGTGCTTTTTAACCCTTCTAAAATGAGCCTTTTCTGAGCTAACCAGCCAAGCGTGGACTTCGCGCTAAATCTTTAGAGCTGATTTTCTCTCACTCTATTTTAGACGCAAAAATCAAAATTCTCCGACCTCCAGTCGGGACAGGTTTTAAAGCTATCGCTTTGAGACATATACAAATTTCCTCAAAATCTGTCAATCAGATACAATAAAAAGGCAACGCCGTTACTGAAAAAAAAAATACAAAAATTCTCAAACTTTTAGCTTTAATTTGATATATAACTCAAGGTCACTAGGGGGCACCTCGTTTCCAGTTCCTATTTTTCCTGTTTCTTCAAGGTCAGGGTGTCCAGTTCCTATTTTTTCCTGTTTTTTGAGCATATTCCTATTTTCTCCTATTTTTAAACAAAACCTCCTATTTTATCCTATTTTTTAGTTAGTGAAGCCAAAATTTGCAAAAATATTGAAAATGGGATTATAGTTGTCTTGTATTTTATAGTGAGATTTATCATAAAGCAAGTAGTATGTTGACTTTGCTTAGTAATATTAGCAAAAAAAATAGTTACATTACATTGGCTCTTTCCATGACCTCTATAATTTGCCCGTTACTGTAGGGGCACCCAGCGAGAATATAGTTCAAAACCACTTAAACATAGCATTGTTGAACGTATTTGGTAGTTAAACGGTAGATATAGGCATATTTTTATCACCTAAAAATTTTTCATCTGTTCGGATTTCCTAGCTGAAAGTCTAGCGATCCGAAAATTATAGCGATCAAAACTTACCTTTTCGAAAATTTCAGCCAGAAAAAGGGCTCCCGAAAATTCTAGGTGACCTTTTTAGGGTAAAAATCTGTTTAAGAGCGGCTCCGCGTAAATATCAACTAGACGAAGAAATAGTCAAAAAATGACCTGGCCTCAAACTCAGCCAGAATAAAGCCCTATTGGCCCTAGTTACAAAATCGTTGGTTTAAGTACGATCGAGTGAATAATATTTTTTTAACGAATTTTTTTCTTCCCGAGGCCTAAAATGGGTAAAAATCATGTGAAATTAGAGTCATATTCAGTAACTGGTAAATTTTAAAATAAAGTTGGCTACTAAAATATAATGACACTTCGTATTTTTACTACCTTTCCTCTATAATTTTAACTGATTAGTTCGCGATTTGGTCAACAAGAGATTTTTAAAGAAATTTTCAAAGTCGTTGACTCAAAATCGCCTAATCAACCGTCAAAATTTAGCACTTTTTCACGAGCTAAAAAAGCGGATTGGTACATGGCTTTGAACACCAAGGCTTGTTTAGTCTGAAAGAGCATTCTTTTTTCTTCAAATTAGCGAAATAAAATTTTTGGGTAAATGAAACCACGAGCGCTGACAAAGCCAAGCAAATGTAAATATTACACTAAAAACGGGCGAAAAAACGTGACCTCTGACCGAAGCACAACCAAATGCGAATTACGGTAGGCGCCAAACCTTTAATTATTCGGTAACTTCTTGAGACAATATTGGTCCGAAATGTGTATAGATTTTTTAAATAAAGCTGAGTTAAAGTATTAAGTGTCAAAAAGTCCACAAAGCGGTAAAAAATACAACAAAAGTCACGAGTAATCTGTTCCTTTTTCTGAATTTTACGCAGCGATTTATGCGATTTAACGAATTAACAATTTTTAATCCAACGATACCCACCTGAGACTCTGTTAGTTTAAGAGTCCATAGAACTTCTCAGACGATTCCTTGGAAAGACCTCCAGAAGGAAATGAATGAAAAATTTGAACTTATAACTGTAACGATTTCCGCTGTGGCTATATGGCCGGTAACCGGTCAAGGTTTTGAAAACACTAAATGACCGGCAGTCCGGTATTTTCAATAAATTTGACTTAACTAAGAATCCCAACCAATCCAAACTATCAAATGCTTTATAGATCTCAAGTCTAGCGTTTGGTTTACGCTGGGCTCAGAAAACGAAACCATGTTTTGTGACACTTAGAACTTTTCTCAGGTCGACTGCCGGTCAAGGTTTTTAAAACACTAAATGACTGGCAGTCCTATATTCTCAATAAATTTGACAAATCGACAAAATCCATCTAATCTAAACTATCAAATGTCGATTAAGAAAACTCAAGCAATCCTGAAACACTTTATATATCTGAAGTTTAGCGTTTGGTTTACGCGGTGCTCAGAAAACGAAACCATGTTTTGTGACACTTAGAACTTTTTTCAGGTCGACTGCCGGTCAAGATTGTTAAAACACTAAATGACCGGCAGTCTACCCTGCTAACAGAGTCGCTTCGATCTTTCCTAGATAAGTCGAGAAAGAGGAAAGAGGAAAGCGGAAAGAGGAAATAGGAAGGAGGAAGGAGGAAAGAGGAAAGAGGAAAGAGGAAAGAGGAAAAAGGAAAAAGGAAAGAGGAAAGCGGAAAGAGGAAAGAGGAAGCTGAGAAAAGCTCCAAGTGTCATTAAACATGGTTTCGTTTTCTGAGCCCAGCGTAAATCAAAAGCTAGACTTGAGATCTGTAAAGCATTTCAGGATCGCTTGACTTTTCTTAATCGACATATGATAGTTTGGATTGGTAGGGATTCTTAGATAAGATTCTTAGATAAGTCGATAAGTAGATAAGTCGAATTTATTTACTTCTTACATAAGTCGAAAATTAATTTAGTGAAAATACCAGACTGCCGGTCATATAACCACAGCGTTTCAAAATACTAAATGACCGGGAGTCCTGTCTTTTCAGTAAATTTCACAAATCGAAAAAAATCTAGCTTAACCAAACTATCATATGTCCAGTAAGAAAAGTCAAGCGATCCTGAAATGCTTTATAGATCTCAAGAATAGCGTTTGGTTCACGCTGGGCTCAGAAGACAAAACTATGGTTCGTGACACTTAGAACTTTTTTCAGCTCGACTGCCGGTCAAGGTTTTCAAACTGGCTCTAAATGACCCTCAGTCCCATATTCTCCATAAATTTCACAAATCGAAATAATCCAGCTAAACCAAACTATCATATGTCGATTAACAAAAGTACAGCGAAATGTACTGAATATAGGACTGCCGGCCATTTAGGGTTTTGAAAACCTTGACGTGCAGTCGAGCTGAAAAAAGTTGTAAGTGTCACAAAACATGGTTTCGTCTTCTGAGCCCAGCGCAAACCAAACACTAGACTTGAGACTCTTTAAGGCATTTCAGGATCGCTTGACTTGTCTTAATCGACGTATGATAGTTTAGATTAGCTAGGTTTTGTGAAATTCACCGAGAATATGGGACTGCCGGTCATTTAGTATTTTTAACACCTTGACCGGTTACCGGCCATATAGCCACAGCGAACAATTTCACTTGCCGGAACGGCAAAACGAAAACAACTGCCGAACTGCCACAGCCAAACCAGCTTTTACTGGAGTCATGCAAAGTATGTCACGTCACGTAATTCTGCCCCGCGCATTTGGGAAGGAGGGAAGAAATTCTTCCATGCTGTGCGCTAAAATATTCATGAAATAAAACAAGCTTTGGAATGTATCTTTTGCAACTAGTTAAAGAAAAGAATAACTTTTTCCCCTGTTTTTGCTCGAGGGGCGCTGTGCACTTCTTTTATTTTATCTGCTGTTTATAATGATTGTGTTTCAAGTTCAGAACGTGGATCTATAGCTAGCAATTGGTGTGTTCGAATTTATACCGAATGCTGTAGAAAGGATATCAAAGGGCACCAAAGCAGTGGCTGATCCAGGGGGAGGGTCCGGGGGGTCCGGACCCCCCATCAGACCCGATACTTGTTTGAGACTAAAATCCTTAGAACGATAGGATTGCATGTCACTGTTTAACTGCTGAATTTTTTTAATAAAACGCGTGTTGTAATTTTCCACTAAACTAAATTCCAGGGATATTAAAAAATGTGATTGTAATTGGGTACCCTCCAATGATCTGTTCGCCTCTGCTCGCAAAGCAGTATTTCCCGCGCCAATGGCGACTGGCTTTCACAGATTGAGAAACACGTACTCGTCTCTGCCTTCTCAGTGACCTGTGCGAGGGGGTGTGGGGGAAAAGTAATTTGCCACAAAAAAGTTCAACAGTCCTTTCTCAACCAAAATTTGGACCCCCCCATGAAATAATTTCTTCCCTCCTTCCCAAATGCGCGGGGCAGAATTACGTGACGTGACATGCTTTGCATGACTCCACTGAAAGCTGGTTTGCCTGTGGCAGTTCGACAGTTGTTTTCGTTCGTTGCCGTGGCGGCAAGTGAAATTGTTACAGTTATAAGTTCAAATTCTTCATTCATTTTCTTCTGGGGGTCTTTCCGAGGAATCGTCTGAGAAGTTCTATGGACTCTTAAACTAACACAGTCTCAGGTGGGTATCGTCGGATTAAAAATTGTTAATTCGTTAAATCGCATAAATCGCTGCGTAAAATTCAGAAAAAGGAACAGATTACTCGTGACTTTTGTTGTATTTTTTACCGCTTTGTGGACTTTTTGACACTTAATACTTTAACTCAGCTTTATTTAAAAAATCTATACACATTTCGGACCAATGTTATCTCAAGTAGTTACCGAATAATTAAAGGTTTGGCGCCTACCGTAATTCGCATTTGGTTGCAGGGACCGCGCAGCAAAGTTTTCGAGTGGGGGGGCTAAAGAAGAATGCGTGAAGGAAAATTTGGGGGGCATGCTTGTGGATTTCTATTCAATTTCTCTAAAGTGACGGAGAATGCGAATAACGATAAAACTATTGATTTTTTTCACATCTTCAGTGATGTTGCTATCGGGTCTGAAAATTCACCATCACTAAATTGAAATATCATAGATTGTTATGTCGTACTACTGATATCAACCTTTAATTACTATAAATAAGCCAGAAATCCGACGATTTTGCTTGAGCTGCCTTGAACTCAAGGCTGTATAATTACTGAGCAATTATTGCACGAGGCTGAGTATGATATGAAGAGTTATGCAGATCGAGGGGGTTATCCGCCAAAGCCGAAGGCTTGAGCCCGGTGGATAACACCCTCGGAGATCTGTATATCTTCATATCATACGAAAGCCGAGTTCAATAATTATATTTACACGGCAAAACAAAACGGTAACTGAAAATAATTTAGGGAATGAAAATTCAATTATAGAACAGATTCAGAAAAAAGTAGCAAAAATTATGCAGAGTTTACTCACCAGATAAAGAAGGTTTTCCATTTTAATTTGTTTTGAAAAGTAATCAGAAATTTTAAGAGATCTCTTCTTTGCATTACTAGTGGTATGTGAAGTCTCGTCGTTCGTATTTATGTTGCCGTGTACCATGTGCACTTCGAATTCTTTGTTCGTAATAACCGCCGGATTGAATGTTCCTTGATGACCCGGACTATACACAATTCTGCGGTTTAAGTACTTTCGATGACAAAATGTTTTTATAAACAGACCGCGTTCAACAAAACTTGCAATTGCAATGCTCAACGAGCCGTGAAGCCTGACATCAAAAGACGGACTTCGCGCTGATCGAGCTAAAATCAGGACGCACAATAACAAGAGAAACAATAACTTCATGATCTTCCAAAAATCAAGGTTGAAACTAATAAACAATTTGTTTGAGAATCGCCTTATAAACTAAACCCAGTTATTACTTTGGATCGAAATTGACCAATTACGAAACAACGCGTTTTCCTGAGAGGTCCGCAGGAAAAAGAAGCCATTTAAAAGACGTTTACCTCTGCTAGGTTAGAAGCGAAAAAATATTTTACAATTGTAACGACTAATGCTTCATTCTGTCGATTTATCTGCGCGTTTGTCTTTGCCAGTAACTCTGGTCACTTTCGAATTAACGAGTTTTTGCTATTTTTCACTCCGTTACTTTTGTTAAATTATTTTTTGTTTAATTTATTTTTATTCTTGCAAAAAAGTGGGGGGGCTAAAGCCCCCCCAGCCCCTCCCTCTGCGCGGTCCCTGGGTTGTGCTTCGGTCAAAGGTCACGTTTTTTCGCCCGTTTTTAGTGTAATATTTACATTTGCTTGGCTTTGTCAGCGCTCGTGATTTCATTTACCCAAAAATTTTATTTCGCTAATTTGAAGAAAAAAGAATGCTCTTTCAGACTAAACAAGCCTTGGTGTTCAAAGCCATGCACCAATCCGCTTTTTTAGCTCGTGAAAAAGTGCTAAATTTTGACGGTTGATTAAGCGATTTTGAGTCAACAACTTTGAAAATTTCTTTAAAAATCTCTTGTTGACCAAATCGCAAACTAATCAGTTAAAATTATACAGGAAAGATAGTAAAAATACGAAGTGTCATTATATTTTAGTAGCCAACTTTATTTTAAAATTTAGGAGTTACTGAATATGACTCTAATTTCACATGAGTTTTGCCCATTGTAGGCCTCGGGAAGAAAAAAATTCGTTAAAAAAATATTTTTCACTCGATCGTACTTAAACCGACGATTTTGTAACTAGGGCCCATAGGGCTTTATTCTGGCTGAGTTTGAGGCCAGGTCATTTTTTGACTATTTCCTCGTCTAGTTGATATTTACGCGGAGCCGCTCTTAAAATGGGCAATTATACCACTCTTTAGATGTTCGAAAATCTTAGGAGAGGCAGGCAAGCAAGAAATTTTACAACACATGTTCCGAACATTCTAGATCTCAAATCGTCTTCCGAACAGATATTTTTCGAAAACTGACGTTGGGTGCCCCTGATTAGAGTTCTGGTAACATCTTTGTTAAAATTATTATTGTTACTTTTTGTGTAATTTTCTAGCGCACCTACATGTACATGTATTGTATGAAATGTTATAGTTGTCATGACTATTGAATAATATTGTGCATAGCCCACTGAAACTGCATTTCAGTCTCTGAACACTTCACGATGTAATTATTTTGAAGTCTTGCTCCCTTTTATGTTCATCTTTGAAACTGAAAACATGGTCAAGTTGCCCTTTAACAACACAGATCAGACAAATCATCCAATCAGCTTCTTGTTTTAAGAACCAATCACCGGCTGGATTCTGTATGCTACATGAAAAGAACAGACTCAAGTTTAGTTTACAGCACTAGCTCTCTTGGTGAGCTCTTGTTCTCAGATATACCTAAGCAACTGACGAAGGATCCGATATTTTGGTTCCGAAACTGTTCTTGCAATCATAGCTAAGCAGAGTGTTACTTCCTCTTAGTACTTAACCATAACACACTTACAATCTGGTACCAAATAGATCAGTGTCATTTTGCATACACCGCAGAAAGGCTGGTTTGGTACTTAAAACTGTGCGGTCTTTTAACTCAATCAATCATATTCTCAACCAGCTATCGATTGTAGATCAATGGAAGGAAAGCTTTCCATGGTACTTTTTAGGTCAATATCCTTTAATGACAATTCAATCATAAGAAATTTCTATCGTAAGAAATTTCACTCTTTGAAGCTTTTCAAAGATTTACCACCAACTTCAAGGGAATTGTCATATGATCACCTTTGTCATTCTGATTACAGCGTAACTGAGCCAAAAAACTAAACGTTACTGATCTTTAGCACTCCTTCTAGGCCTCGAAAGTTGGTCTGAATCCTGCGAACGTAAAGGCTAAGGACTCTTGGCCTTTATTATAGTCCTGATGGGGTGCTGGGTGGTCATCTATGTCGACGAAAGTACTATTGATTTTCCTGTTTTTCTCCTATTTAATTCTTTTTAATACAAAGTTTCCTATTTTTCCTATTTTCTCAATCCCGAGTTTCCTATTTTCCTATTTTTTTTGAGCAACCATGCCCCTGGACACCCTGCAAGGTGCTTTTTTCCACAAAAATACATCGCAGAAATCTTTTCGAGAGGTCAAAGTTTCCATTCAGCTTCTTTTTTGATCGATTTTTTGTTTACGAAAGCTAATTTCTTTCGCTCATTTTTTCCGATAAACAGACATCGCGAGCAGGCGGCCTCGGTGAGTAGTACGTTTGTGCACGAAATAATGATAAACGGATAAGCGAGTGAAATTTCCGGAGTTCAAATTACTCTTCCATTGAATTTTGACTTAGAAAGGAGACATCTGTCTTAATCCTTCCCAAATGTAACGAAAATGAATTTGAGCGAAAAAATTCTCTATCGCAATCGTTTTCTTGCTTAAATCGCCGGCAATTTTAACGCGCTGTTGGTATTATGTGTTTTCACATGACGTCATGGCGGCCATATTTGTGTCCCAAAACAATGAAACGGCGGCCATGTTTGTGTCCCAAACCAGTCCTGTGGGAGTTGAACTCTTTTCTTATGTAAACGCTTT